TGTACCTTCGGTGCATTTAAGTCGAAATTAATAACAAATTGAAACATATGAAAAGTATTAATTAATATATATATAAGTATAATTAATTTTAGTAAGGAAGTCTTCTTAATACAACCACTTGAAATACGTAAGGAATGGAAGGTTTTGTTTTTCTGAAACAGACTTCAGGCAAACAAATTGTAAAGACGTGAACAGAACTGAAATGTCACATATCTCCAATAGTGAACTTCCGTTTTTGTGGTTCTCGATATTTGTATCCTGTTAGCAAAGAAATAATCGTAATCGTAAGTTAGGTCAGCTATTTAATAGTAACCTAGTTTAGTTAGTAACTCTTGACAGTTTTTTTATGAGTGGATAGTTTTGTCTTTCATTCCGAGAGAAGACTTTGTTCAAGGGTGTTAGAAACAACTACTACTTGGACCCAAGAGAGGTGGTAACTGGATAACAGATACAGCTGCTCAGTGGGAACTTTCAAATTTGTATTCCATGTAATAATGCTACTTAAATGAAGAAAGAAGAAATGGGCGAATGACAAACAATAAAGAACTCACTGGCTACAATGGTTTGGTTGGAGAACACGAAGGTAACATACTACCTGGGAGACTTAGCTGTAGATGGGAGGATCATGTTGAAATCAGCCCCGGATAAATACGTCAAGATCTGAACTGGATTGAAGTGGTTCAGGACAAGGTTCAGTAACGTGTTTTATATAATTAGTAATTCAAATCTGTCTTCTATAAAAACGTCTGTATTGTCAACGTTAGTTACTTACTCTGGTTGCAGAACCCGAAGGCCCAATGTCGCTAATACCAAAGTAAATCCCACTACTGGACACGATCCCGAGCCTGTTTTATCTGCCTCCAGTGTGGGTGGATTCGGCTTGGTAACCAAATCAGCTATATTCTGCGAGGACCCAATCCATGTTTCTCTCGACCTTGCTTCTGTACACACAGGCGAAAATTTGTTCTATTTTCCGTTTTAGTGGCTTATTAGTCTAGACCCTACAGCAACACCAAATAAAGAATTATTAGGAACTAGTTTATAATTACTTAGTTTGCTTTCTTTAATAAATTGTCTTTCATGATATTAACTTTAATAAACAAACTCAAGGTTAATTTTTTCGTTCCTTTCAAAACTATTCGGTTTTTGCTATATTATGTATTTGCTGCTGAGAATAGCCTACTTAATTAATAACCAGTCGTTATCTTCGCTTATGACGTCACATCTGGAACATTGCTTCCAGCATTATTGTGTTACACAATGCGACTGAAATAAAATAAACATATGTAGTATGAGCGTCGTTCTGCGTCAGGCCGCTATAGGCCTACTGAAATGTGGCCTTGGAAGTGCCGGTTACCATAACAAGTTGGGATTGCGTTACTTCATATAATATTGCTTCGAGCCACGTGTATTATTACTGCGTCGTCAGAAATTACACAGTCGTACAGCGTCAGCATCAAGTTTTGCGTAAAGCTGGGGGGAAAGCCCCACTGAAACACATAAAATGTTACGAACAGCTTATGAGATGAGGATCTGTCCCGAGCACAAACATTTCAATGGTTTAAGCGTTTTCAAGAGGACAGAGAGGATGTGGAAGATGAACCTCGCAGTGGACAACCGAAAACGACCTCCAACCCCAAATTGGTGGAGAAAGTCAGCAATTTATTCGCAAGAGACCACCGATTGACACTCAAAATGATGACAAGAGAACGAAATGTGGACGTGGAATCGATAAGGTCCATAATTATCAGACTTGGACAAGAGAAACATTTGTGCGAAGTTTGTGTCACGCTCTTTACGTGATGAGGAAAAACTCAGAGGACTGGATGCCTGCAAAGATTTTGTGCAAACAGCTGACGGTGGACCTAGTTTCCTAAAATCCATCATTACTGGGGACGAGTTATGGTGTTTCCAGTATGATGGTGAAACCAAAAGACACAGTGCAGAATGGCAATCACACAGCTCACCGAGAGCAGAAAAAGATGCGTTTACAGATATAACGCATCAGAGCCATGCTGATCACATTATTTGATTCTGAATGGATAATTCATAAGGAATTTGTGGCACAATGAAGGGCCGTCAATAGAGAGTACTACCTAGTGGTACTGAAACAGATTTGCAACATTTCGCTTAGCGGCTTTCGCATGACAACGCGCCTGTTCACACAGCGATCTGGCCAAAAAAGGGATTGCAGTGCTCAGTCAGCTTCCGTATTCCCCTACATGGCTCCAGGAGACTCTTTTCTGTTTCTCAGGTTGAAATTGAGATTGAAATGAAGATTTCTGTCTTCTGGGTTGTTGACCTCAGAAACGTTGGTAAACATCGACTAGACTACACAGCGCAACAACCCAGAAGACAGAAATCTTCATACTCACCGCTGTGAAAACCTCAAATCTTACTGAGATTGATATGTCGCTGACTTTATACGATCGAACACATTCAATAGAACGTGACGGCGGAACTGAATATTATCACAGCAACCGAGTTTTCCGAGCCTTTTCAAAGTGTATATGACCGCTGTAATACGTGTGTATGGTCCCTCGGGGATTAATTTGAGGGAAACAGGTTGTCGGTTGTATAGTGGTTTTTATTTTATTTCAGTCTTATTACTTTTTTCCGCATTGTATACACTTCGGGATCTGTGTTCTGGTTGTTAATATTTACTTTTTTAAAGGAGAGCTTGTTTTGTCATATCTGGAATATCACCGTGTACTGTTTCATCCAGAACTTTACAAGGTTATGACTGTAAAATTCTAACTTTATGTTTCATTGTGAAAATTCAATATAATTACAGCTCCACATTTTTACTACTGAATTCAGGGGATGTTCTCTAAACGGACTGAGAATTCAGTCACAATTTTCAGTTTCAGGGGGGAAAATAATTTACTGAAAGTATGCCTAGTTTGGAGACCAAGGTGCTGCCAGATAACTTCATGTAGTGCACAAAACAAATTAAACGTGTGGGTCTGAAACAATTGTATCAGCTCTTATCACAAAAACTCTTCTCATGTGCTTATCGTCTACAGTCGAGTGCAGCAACAGCGTTATATGAAGGCTTCCCATAGCTTCACAAATCACAGGAAGAAGTATAGTTTTCAGAAGTCTAGCGTTTGTAAAATACTGCATTTCATAAAAAATAACCCATCACAACCTTCCTTTGAAACATTTTATTCGCCGCAAGTTGAAACAAGTGAATAACACAATGGGAGCTAGTACATTGAATTCTGCTTTATTAGCGGCCTTCACCGAACTGTCCGTTCTTTTGACACAGTCCATGCACACTTCATATTTCTGCCATGAGAGTTCATTTTAATTAAAGACGTCCAAAGTTAAAAAAAAAAATCCATGTCATTTTGAGAGTAGGCAGCAACTTCGATAAAAGCAAATCCTCGTTAACTTCATAAGATAGCGTAGTTGCGTCATATTGTGACTTATTAAATTAAAATTAAATTATTTGGTTATTCCGTCAAATCACAATGTATTTAAAATAAGATAATTAAAATAATTAAAATATCATTCTGTGTTCGTTAACTTCGTCAGGCAAAAAGGAACAAATGCTTAAGCGCTGCAATCCCTACCACATCACGCTTGTTTTATATTCTTTGCCATATCATCAGTACATCCAGAATGCAGGGCTTGGTAAGATGTCGGCAGTGGTGTAACGCTTCACCTGACATCTCCGTTCTCATGCTCAACAGATACGACGCTTCCGATAATTTGATGTCGCCTTCGACTGCATGAATACTTGCATTTCTTCAGCTTGTCGAGTTTATTAGCATAAAATTATCACATACTTTTCCAACTTTCAAGGTGTATTTATTTTGCAAGATGTTCTTGCATTCAGCGTCAGACCCTGTCCATGTAAAGCCGAAATATGTCAGCTTTCGTCGCATTTTCATGTAACTGCCCGCCTACTGTATATCTGGTGACCAACGACACTGGTCCGAATTCATTTGCAGGATTGGATAACTTTTTCACTAGCGTGGCAATGAATTTCCTGCTTGTACTGTGCATATTTTGTAACATTTCTTTAAATGAGATGTTTCACCAAAGAATTTTTGATGTAAATGCGTCTATACGGAAGGGTCATTCGGTGAAACAGCGTTAGGAAAATGCGTTAGATCCATACCAACAATGTGTAAATATGGACCGACAATGGTCAGCTTTTATATGAACTCCTGCGTGCATAACAATGCTTTACTCCTTTACCTGAGAAACTAATTGTTGTCATCTGTTTATTCGTCATTGATGTGTTTCATTACTGCCGTCAACAATCCGCTTTCGTTATTGCGGAAAGAGCTGAGTTGTGAATCGCTTGTAGAAGTGCGTCGTGGAGTAGATAATATTTTGCTGGTAAAAACGTTTTAGAATATCACAATTACTTATCTTATATAAGAATTATTAAGAAATCTGTGATACTGCCCTCCACTCTCTCCATTTTAGTTTTGATTAAATTGATCATTGCCGGTGGACATCGTGGTCTCTTACAATTAAACAAAGTTTGAGGTAAGGGGAAAAGACGCATCGCACTTCACGCTACTGCGTTTGTGTCTTGCGTCATACTATGTAGAGATAACAAGATGGATGACATTGAAGCTAAAAGAGTCCGTAATTTAGAATATATGAGACAGTACAGAAAACGTAAAAAATAGAAGTATTAAATAATGAACCAGAAGTTCCCCCCAAAATACCAAAAACTAATGCTGATCGTATGAGGGATAGATAATCAAGCAATGTCTTAATCAAACTATTTACTCAATTGTAAAGCATGTATAAAGGGAATATTTAGAATAAAGCTAAATAAACCTCATTTCATTGTATTTATTACCTAAATATAATTTAAAAGCAAAGACGTATTTACGTCAGATTCTCCGGAACCGTGGTTCCACTGTCAATTTTTTACTTTATACCACATACAAAATGTTATTCCATATATGGTATCTTTCTTCTGTTATCTTCATAAGAATACATATGTTAATTAGCAATTGAATGTATTACAGTGAGTGAACTACTGTCTCTACAATGGTGGACACTGACAATAACAGCAGTCCTGTTCGGGATTTCTTTCGAGGAAAAGACATTTTCATTACTGGAGGAACTGGTTTTCTTGGCATGGCGCTGATTGAGAAGCTGCTTCGAGTATTCCCAGATGTTGGAACTATTTATGTACTGGTCCGCCCAAAGAAAGGCAAAGAAGTTTCAGCAAGAATAGAAGAACTTACCAAGAATCGAGTAAGTACTAAACAAGACATATATTCTGACTTTCTCTGTCATTATATCATCAGTTCTTTTTATCATTATAATTCACACAGTATTGCTACATAAACTAAGAAACAAAATTAAATAATGGCTTCCACTTTTCCCACCAAAGTTCCATACTTATTTCTTGTTTTCCCTGTCACAGCCAGATGCCTAGTCCAAATTGCCTTTCTTCATCCAATTATCAAAATGGCCTTAAAAATTACTTTCATAAAAGCTATTTAATTTATAGTACATATTTTTGCCTTGACTCACACCATATCATCTGTACTCTTGGCAGCACTATAAATGGTATATGTGTCATAGATATCACCATCGTGTAGTCTCGTAGAAATTGATTGCTGTTTCAGGGATGCTTACTGCCTCCATTATCAGGGTAATGAGTGGTCAATTTCTATGCGATTACATGGCACATCATCCCAGAACAGCCATCTTAATTTTATTTTTGCCTACAGGTGTATGATAAGCTGAAAGAATTGCGAGGTGAAAACATATTCCAGAAACTGGTTGCCGTGGCTGGAGATGTGGCTGAGGATAACCTAGGGTTAAGCCCTGCTGACAGAAACTTACTAACTCAAAATGTCAGTATTGTTTTCCATTCAGCTGCCACACTGGACTTCAATGTTGATCTTAAATCAGCTATTAGTATCAACCTTCTGGGGACACAAAGAGTGGTGCAACTGTGCAAGGATATTTCTCATCTGAAGGTAGACTTCTTTCTCAGACATGCTTACCATATAGTCCATCAGTTACTCATCTCATATTAAGGAATGTTAACAGATACTATTATATGAAACAAAAATAGAGCCTATGAAATAATAAACAATTTAAATAAAATAGTAAATAATGCACAGTGCCTCTTTCTCAATGGCGACATTTCATGAAATTATATGGACAAATGAGGAATAAAAATGGCAATGAAAAATAAAAACATATAAAGTAAAAGTAAAGCTGTCCCACTATACACCATGTAGGCATTTGGGGGGAGAGGTGGTATAGCTCCTCATTCTTGACTTCAGCACTAGATGGAGCTGAGTGGTCAGCATCACGCCCTGGCCAAGCTTTACACCCGGGACTGGAGCCCGGTACCCATTGGATAAGAGACTGGGTGGGCCCCAGAATTGGTCTGGACACAGAAGTTAGGGGAAAAATTCTCTACTCCCGTCGGGGATCAAACCCCGGTCATCCAGCCCATAGCCAGTCACTATACTGACTGAGCTATGCCAGATCATATAAATTTCAATTAGATTGATTAATTATTGTTGATGTCCAGGCCTAGATCATATAGAACTTATAAAAGTGATCCTGATTTTCTTTCAAAACTTTTAGAATTACTAAATATGTGTTGTGCAATACCACTGATTGGAAAACTGTGATTTTTTTTCAATATTTAAAGTAAGGCAACAGAACTGAATGCTGTAACTATACAGACATAAGATGAATGAACTTTTTTTTTACAAAATATGCATTCATTGGCACATGGAATAATGAAAATTGCAGAGCAAAACGTCTTCAGAAAAAGGTAAGACTAGAGGTTCTCATGGTGGCAAGTATGAAGATGGCCGTCTTCTGGGTTGCTGTGATAATCATCCTCAAGCAGGCACCCTGAAACGTTGATAAACTTCTGCCATACAACATGGTGCAACAGCCTAGAAGACAACCATCTTCAGAAGAAGTAGATTATGTATTTGTCTTTACAGTTACCCATTTATAGTAAAAGAGAACAGAACTGAGTCTTCATATATTCTGTAGCCTTTATTGAGTATATAAAAGCTTTGATAAAGCAAATAGAAAAAAATGGGGCATATTCTAGGAATTATAGGCTTCCCACAACATTCAATAAGAACTATTAAAAGTACGTAAGTTCAAAAGAATATTTTAACTTATAAAGAGTATGAAGTAGTACAACAAAAATATAAATTAACTGAGGTGTAAGACAGGGATATCCATTATCACCTGTATTTTTAATATTTATTTAGACCATGTCATTAAATAATGGGAGAAAAAAGATAGGTTTTAAATTGTAATTTGTTGAAAGTGTTGTTTTCAGATAATAAAACATTTTAATTATTCTGCAAAGTCTCCAGCACCAAATGTCTGAAATTTCATCACTGTACAACATGAATATTTCCACAGTTGAAAACAAAACTATTATCTTTCATAGGAGAACTAGTAAGAACGTCGATTGTGATGGATAATATTAATATATAGGTTAAAGATTTTAATTCCCTTGTTTGCCAGACAAAAGCTTAGACTTAGAAAACCAAGTATGCAAGGTTTAACAGGTTATGTGGGACAGTCAAATAAACTTACCTAATAAAACATAAAAAAATTATGAAATTTTACAAAGTACTGGTAGTAACATCTCTTCCTCATGACAGTGAAGGTTGAATCAGCAGAGATGTGCTTCATGAAGCCTGTAGCAAACTGTCATAGAATATAATTGAGAAGAAACCAGAAGAAATCACAATGACAAGGAAAATATGTTTGTTATAGAATGAGTTATAATAATGATGCGTTCATTTTAAAGCTTTGTCTGTTGTATTATTCTTGGTGTGTGCAGGGTTACATCAGTCCCCTTTCGTTAACAACACAATAAATCTTTATATTTATATATCACCCATCAAATATAAAAGTATACTTAACATAATACTCCTTTTAATTGTTGTTTTGTATGTGAAGGATATGATTCTCTGTGCAGGCTCTTGTACATGTGTCTAGCGCATATGTAAACAGCAATCGAAAAGGAGGAGCGAAGGAGATTGTTTATCCTGTACCAGAGAATGCAGAGAAGGTGATCAATGTTGCAGCAGGTCTCAGTGATGAGGTACTTCTTGAATTGACACCAGCGTATGTATTTTTTATTGCCTTTTGACAATGAACCAGAAAATTAATGCCTAACTGTAGTTTTTAAATTACTTTTAATTATTTTTTATGATACTGACTTTGATTTAAACAATAAGATATATCAGTATCAGGGATTGTGAGGGAAGGTGATGACATTCCAGGACTATTTAATTGTACATAAATAATATATTATATGAAAAATATATAACAGGTGTTACTGACAGCTGTTTCTTACTTCTCCCCATGTGGAGGGAAACCGCTGCTTGGTATTAATTCAAAGTTAAGTGCTGTTTTGTGTATAAGTAAAAAAGTAAAGCTGTCCCATTATACGCCATTTAAGCGCTTGGGGTGGGTGGGGGAGAGAAGTGGTATAGCTCCAACTCATTCTTAACCCCAGGGAAAGAACCTCAGTACCCATGGGATAGGAGGCTGTTGTGGGCCCCACAGCCGGTCTGGAAGCCGAGACTGGAGGAAGAATCCTCTGCCCCTGTCGGGGATCGAACCCCAGTCATCTAGTCCGTTGTTGCTCATATATTTGTATTCTATTGTTGCTTCTCCAAAAGCAAGTTTTTAACATGTCCGAGATCTCTACAGCAGGAGACAGCACTATATGACAAAACTTCATGTTGTGATATGGCACATTCATCAATTTTGAAATTAAAAACATATAGTTCAGCAGCTTGTACTTTACCATAGTCTAGCAAAGAAAATATATGATTACACCACGTATGCTTGTACCAAAGCATAATTTCTTCTGAAGTTATGGAAAGAATTTTGTGTTTGATAGTTCACTTAAAAAAAAGTGAATTGCAATGAGAGAGAAAGGTTAAGAATCAGATTATTCTGAATCTGTAAGTTATGAGATACTTTCAGGTTCAGTAAATTAACAGAATTAAAAGTGAAAGAAACAAAGATTTAATAATTTATAATATCTGACTGCTTATTCAGTAATTATATGATGTGCATCAGCTGTGAAGTTATACAGCATTGAATGAAATTTAGCAGGATGACTATAAATGAACTTGGAGGAAGCGGGCATGGCCTGTTTTAAAGAGGTACTAGTCTGAATCTGCATGGATGGAATAAGAAAAGTGTAAACACCATCACACAGCATAGCTAGATCCTGGTAAAAATTCAAATGTGCTGCTGTGACAATCTGCTCCATGTGAATCTTTAATAAAATTTTCATATTTTGTGCTAGGAAGTACTACCACAGTGGTGGTAGGAATCAGTTAGCCCCATCCACAAAATACGTGTCAAAATCGAGTGCAGTATTTTGTCAATGTAATACAAATTTTATCGAATATTCTTCTGGCACAGTTAATTCCATTTATGAATGAACCTGTCGGGGATGATCAATGTGGATTCTGCTGTAATAGGTCAACTATTGATCAGTTCTTTTTCATTTAACAAATATTAGAGAAAAAGTAGGAGTATAATGTTTCAGTACACCAACTATTTGTGGACTTCAGGAAGGCATATGACTAAGTTAGAAATTTTTGTTTCAGGCTTCTCAATGACCATCCAAACACATACACATTCACCAAAGCTCTGGCAGAACATGAAGTTGTTAATGCTATCAATCAAGTGCCATCAGTTATTGTCCGACCAAGCATCAGTGAGTACCAGCTGTTAGTTCTGAAGCAAGTCATGACAAAATTTGTAAATGTAAAAAGAAAGGTAAAGTAACTGAAAACATAAAGTGAAGTTACAAATCTATATCTAGGTCTCACCAGCCGTCTCTTCCCTTCAGGCTTCCCGACCAATACCTGGTGCACACCTCTTGCCCCATCCATCTCATTCTTCTTGACTTAATCACCCTGACAGTATTGGGGGAGGAGTACAAATTTTTAAGCTCATCATTATGCAGTTTTATCCATGCCCCATCACCTTCCTTCCTAGGCCCAAATATCCTCCTCAACACCCTTTTCTCAAACACCTGCAATCTGTGTTCCTCCCTCAACATGAGAGACCATGTTTCATACCCATACACAACAGGCAAAATTATTATTTTGTATATTTTAATCTTTAGGGTCTTAGAAATCAGACAGGAAGATAAAATATTTTGAACTGAGAAGTAGCAAGCATATTCTAGCATTCCAATTCAATAGCCTAGATAATTGGAAGTTAATATATAAACTGAACTTATGACCTTCTTTCATGTTGCAGTTACTTGTGCTTGGAAGGAACCAGTTCCAGGCTGGATTAACTCTAAGAATGGGCCATCAGGCTTTATAATGGGCGCAGCAAAGGGTGTAGTCCGTCGTTTGCCTGCTAATAAAAAACTTATTTATGATTATATTCCTGTTGACATAGTAATCAATGAACTCATTGTTGCGGCATGGCACGTGGGCACAATCAGGTATGCATACTTAACATTGCTAACCTTTCACACTCAGTAGCTTACTTGCTACTTCACTAAATGCATCAACCAGTCATGTCACAGCATCACACACCATAAGGTGTGTTCTTTAAACCAATATAACATGCAATCCATTCTAGTAGATAATGTTCAGTTTTCAGTACGTATCTTGCAACATGTCTAATAGGGGACTTTGAAAGAGGAATATCTTGTAAAACACTACATTTTGTATAGAGAGACATATATTTTACAATCAGTATACTGAATGTTTTTATCATGTCAGTGTTTAATATGACCATCAGCTTCCATGGCAGTCTCTCGCATAAAAATAAATTAACTACAACTTTTCAAGTTTGATATGGTTCAAAAAACAATATTTTGCTCCCCTACTGGCTGGTGCATAAGACAGTGAAGGAAGAAACTGTGTTTCTATTATGAATAAGAGTATATTAATTTAGCCAGAATAATATAATTTCATAATGAGTACATGTGCATTCTTCCAGTAAAAGTAACAGTATTGTGATCTGTTGCTTGTTTATTCAGTTATTTGATAACACTGTATCAACATTTGAGGTTAGATTCCTCATACTAATGTACCCTGCATATATGCCTGCTGCAAGCCAAGCATCCTATTGATCACTGAACTCACATCCAACAGATTGATGATTAGAAAACCTACTGTCTATCATGCTGTATTACTGTACATTAATGTAAGCGCTGTATTTATTCTCAAATAATTACAACGTTCATATTTGCTCCCTAGATTATTCATAAAACTGCTGCAGGACTTATTAAGTTAGTAAATGTGAGTAAAGCAACAAATGTGTTAGGCTTCAAATTTAACTAGAGTCAACATAATAGTCATATATGAAACATATTTTAACAATTTATTTTATTAGTAGATATTTCTGCAGGCATTCTCAATTGATATATTTATCTCCAGAAACTCTTTTTGTGCATTCTTTCTGTTGTGTGCATGAAATAATGCATATGGATCTGATTACATCTGGATAGCTGTCTATTTGTGTGATTCAATTTGAGAATCGCTGGACAGATTTGGATAAATCTGGTATGGACATTATGCCATTAGAGACTACCCTAAAACTGTACTTACAGTTTCCTACAATCAGTAATATTGACATGAAAGATGAACAAATGTGTGAGGTGGGATCTACACTACCACCACTGCAATAGGGCCATATAATGATGTATGGTTATAGATTTCCAGAAAATAAAAAAAACATCACAAGAGTAATTCTTTGTATAAAGTAAAATAACAACATGGAGGCTGCACGAAAGAAAAAATTGACTTGACTAGGATTTGATCGTGCAACCTCATCTGTACAGACCAGTGTGCTACTACAGAGCAAACATTCCATATGACATATCTGTATTGATTTATATTATTTAATGGAGATATTAACTCCAAATGATTTCTATTGTATTGATCTAAGGGGAACAAGTTCAGTCACTCCAGGCACTCAGACCACTGCTGAGTCTATTGTATACACCTGATCTTAAAAGGGCTTTTTAAAGAACCCTATAATACTGGTAAAATTTCTGATATGTATTCATGAAATATCCATTTTGAATTCTGTTATGTGTAGGTTCTACAGTATCTATCTAATCGTACATATCAGATAAGTTTAACTTCAAATATGTAGTAAATAACACTGAGAAAGCAATTTTATAGAAATGTTAGTAACTGATTTTAAATTCTTTCCAAACCAAAAGACAGTAAATATGTACATAAGTTGCCATTTTGTCATTGTCCTATTTTTTAAACTGTTCTAACAGGCCACATACTACACCTGTATACCACTGCACATCCAGTACTACAAATCCTTTCCAGTGGTCAGCAGTGGAGCACAAGATCAAGGAAAATCTGCACAAATATCCATTAAAATCAGCCGTTTGGTATCCCACAGTGAAGTTTTTACCAAGTTTGCTGCTTTTCAGAATATCAGCCATTTTTGTCCATTTCATCCCTGCTTATATTCTGGACACGATCACTAGGATAGTTGGTGGCAGACCAATGTAAGTAAATAAAATTTGAAAATAAAACACATGTAAAATTTATCAGTTCATTGTGCACATTATTTCCAGTAACACAAATTTTCAGTACGTTTGTTGGATATAAATGCAGTACTTTCTTTAAGTCTTAACATTTAAGAATGATTTGTACAGAATTATATGTATGTTTATGATCTATCGTCATACTAAACTTCATATATCTGTCTCTAATAGTTCATCAGTTGTCACCATCTACCAACACTAGCATCATTAAATGTATAGCTATAAACTCTAAGATCCCCATGAAACTGCTCATTACAAACTATGTGTATGACAAAGGTGTTTGTTACATATCTGTTTTATGGTTTTTGTAAAGAAAATGAAGAGTAAGAATATGGAATTTGGATGAATTATAGATGATAACTTATTAATAAAGTTGTAAGTAGGCAGAGCTAACAATCTTCGGCAGAATGAAAACAACAACATACATCTGAGTGATAAATATCTCAGCTTAGTGAGGTATAGGTTGCTGGGTGCTGACCAAATTCCAGCAGACTTGATCCCAGCAGGAGGTAAGACATTATGTTCTAAGGCAACAATTCTCTTACACCTATTGGAAGAACTGCGACAGCAGCAGAAAGAATCTGTTATTGTACCTTTCTATAAAAAGGGCAATAAAATTGTGTTAAGAAAGAATTATTTAGAAATAACACTGTTACCAGCCGTACAACATTTTATTGAACATTCTTCTCTCAATTTATTTGTTTATAGTTTATTTAACTTCTCTCAAGGTTAACTTCTTATATGGATGAAATTATTGGGGAACATAAATGTGGATTTTGACAGAATAGATCAACTACTCTGCATGTCAGATATGGGAGAAGTAAAGGGGTACAATAGAACAGTAGATTACCTATTTATATACTTCAAGAAAGCCTATTAGGTGGCTGAGAGAGAAGTGATGTACATAGTAAACATAGAGAAAACTTAAGTAAGTTTTGTCACCAGAATGCAGAACAAAAACATGCTACGAACGCACATTAATACATATTTGATGAAGATATTTTTAATCACTGGTGTTTGAAGTCCTGTATTTTGTGTGTTCACAGATTGGTTCGCTTGCACACAAATGTTGATAAATCTCTGGGTCAGCTAGCACCATTTATTTTCAATGATTGGCGATTCGATAACTCCCAAACCAAAGACCTTCAGAAAACACTCAGTGGTCAAGACAAAGATATGTTCAATCTTGATATTTCAAAGTTGGACTGGGAAGATTACTTTGTTGACATGATCAAGGGAATAAGAATGTACCTAAACAACGAACATCCACGAACTCTCCCAGCAGCAAAGCGCAAAGATTCTATGTGAGTATGGTCTATTAAACCATTTGTTTCCTAATCCGTAAGAATATGCTGAAGAGTGACAAGAGAAAATGTACAAAGAGACTCAAGAAAATTAAGTCAGATGTAGGAAATCAGAGAATAATAACAGCCAAATTTACTTAATTATATTTCCCTAGTGATTAGTCTTGGTAGCTGAGTCAGTAGAACAACTATGGCCTGGACACTGATAATTTGTTTCGAAGGCAGAGGCAGGTATTTTCTGTTTGTAAACATGTCCATGTCAGCACTTGGGCTCATCCATCTTCCTATCCAATGAGTATGAATATGCATAAAGCCACTGTTTCAGTTCCATCTCATGTCAAGGTCTCAACTGCTGTGACAAGCTTTATTTCCCATTATTACACCTACTTAAATTTGGCCCAAAGAATCTGAAACACAGATATGTGCATGTTACAAATTGCAGTCATATGGACACCTCTTCTGATGAGTGAAGGTTAGGTTAGGTTGGTGATGTGCATGCGCAGAGAATCATAGGTTGTGGCATCATCATTATTCTACCATCATGACTGAGCATCTGTCTTGTTGGTATACCTTTGAAATTACACAGAGAATTTCTGTTGTGAGGCCTTTATGGGTGAAATGCAAGATTTGTGGTATATAGAGGGGCACTGTATTGGGGTTTGACTGTACTTAGAAAATGTTATGAAATGATTTTTACTCTCTTCTTAGCGTTGTTCATCTAGGAGATGATTAAGGTGAAAGTGAATCTTAGAAAATGTTTGTTATGAAGTAGCCTGACGTGAACTATACTAGGCAGGCTGTATTGGTGATCTTTGTTAGCAGTACTATATAACCTTCAGGTATAATACCAGAGAGTTCCTGTAATTATTAAAGCTTTTATTGAGTCCTTTACCACAAAATTTAAATTAAGTGTATTCTGGTGCTATTAGATCAGTTAATTTGAATTACCACTCGTACACTACATGTTATCATTGAGTATGTTAGCCATGGCTGGGCACATTTAGTATAGATGAATTCTGCTGTGTTATGCACAGCAAAGGATTAACCACTCGCAATATTGTAATGAATTCTTCTCAGGCTACCAGTCACATCAGGTACTTGAATGGAGAAAACTCCAATGTTTCAAGAACCATCGGTTGGTAGGCTGGTAGCCTGAGAAGAATTCATTACATTTAGTTGCCGTGAAAGCTTCAGATCATATACTCTCAATATTATAGTGCAGAACTGATTTCTTTTTTTTCCAGACTGATGGTACTGAACTTACTGACACAAGCATTGGTGTTTGGCTTCATCTGGTGGATTGGTTCAGTAGCACTAGGAACCCCTATGACCAAATGCAGCTGGATTGTTGTCATTTCATATATAATCTTTAGCTTTCTTTAGTGTTTTGGCAGACACAGACCACTGAACCAAAAGAAGAGAGTATCTTCTTACTGCAGTTTCAATAAGATACTTTTCTAAATATTTACAAATACTTAAACTTTGTAAGCATTTAGATATTGATGTAATGTGTGATGGGAATCTTATTTGGACTGATTTAAGTTAATTATGGCTAATTAGATAAACAATTATATGAATAGAAAACAGTAAACTACAGGTTCATTAGCAAATTCATTCATGAGTTCATGTGAGTTGAAAAATGTATGAAAGTTAAATAATATGAATTGGTTGTACATGACTTTTTACTACAGTTTATGTTTTGTTATAATAATTTTGCATGTTACTTATCATTGGTGATTTCATAAATGTTATACATTTGTAAAGGAAACTGGCTGCTTTCCTCTCTTCCTCAATTACAGTATACCTGGTGATCAGTAATGTAAAGGATTTTGGGCAGTAAAGATAAACAAAAATTGGATGTAATGGACTATCAATCTTCTAGAGAAGTAACATTAAAAAGGAATAATAATAATAATAATAATAATTTATTTACATTCCACGGATCCATAAGACAGTCAGATGACGATAGGATGTGGAAAAAGTCATAATAATAAAAATGATAATAATACAATACATATTATAAAGTAAAATTCGTACTATTATATAAATTTCACATAATACAAAACAAAGTATTCACCTAGAGAAATGATAAGCTACAAATAGATCTACCCATTACACACAAGAAAAATTTATCACTTATTTGTAAACAACATAAATTCATTGACAGAGTAAAAGGAGTGTGTATTGAAGTATCTTTTTAATGCTACCTTAAATTGCTCCTTCTTATTTACAACACTTGTGAGATTTGATGGTAGACTGTTGAAAATTTTGATCCCTGCATAATATACATGAATTTCTAGGTTTTACACCAGCCAATAATCTAATAATTTTCTTTTGTAAAGTGAATAATGAACTTCTGTGTTCCAGCAGAAGATGTTTGTTCAAAATTTCTAAGTATTACTTTTTTATATACATGATGAAAGCACCTATACCATCTTAATTTAGCTGTAGTAATAAACATATTTCATGATGTGAAATGTACAGAAATAGTTTTCTTAACTTGAAATATGTTTTGTGCAGGAAAACATTTATTTTGTGGGAACAAGTGAGTTAGCAAATGCAAGAACATATACCATGTTCATAAATCAAATTAAATCAAACCTGTTGATCCTACCATACTGGATTCTCCTGGAAAATTACTTAAGTCACTTATACACATTAAAATAAGTTAAAATCTTCCATCCAGGGCAATGAATTATGTGTTATATTTTAATTAAACATGAACTATAAAAAATGTAAAAGCTCTCCCACTATATGCCATGAAGGTGCTTGGGGGGAGAGGAGGTATAACTCCCACTCATTCTTAACCTCGGCACTAGATGGGGGTGACTGGTGAGCATCACACTCTGAGTTTACCTTTGGGAAGGACCCTGGTACCCATTGGACAGAAGGCTGGGTGGGCCTCAGAGCCAGTCTGGACACAGAGGCTAGAAGAAAAACCTCTGCCTCCATCTGGGACTGAACCCCCGGTTGTCCAGTCCATAGCCAGTCACTGAACTACCCTGGCTCAAAGGTGAAGTATAACTATTTAATTCACAGAGCAGAGTATACATAAAATACAGTATTATATTTACCTTTAGAAAGTAAACATTACATCATTTTCAACCAAAAGCTATGTGAATCTTAGTATATTCTGGGTGAACCATACTTTCCTGTTACAAAGAATTCTAATGCTACAAATTACAAATCTTTCATTGCCATCTTCAATGTCTAGTTTGTGTGTTATTCAAACTTATCCTAATAAATGTAATAAGTGTCATAATGGAATAAGCAATGAAGTGTGCATAACTGAGTGTGTGCCTTGGTTTAATACATCTCAGTGGATATCAGACAGTCTGATCCATGGACCAACACATAAGTAATGGTTCATCTGAGCATTGTTGAAAATAATTTACAAGGAATGCCTTCCTTCAGAAGGATCACGTCCCTTATTTGTACATGTTACTATTCTCAATATTTTCCAACATTCTTAAATTATATATCACCTATAGTTATGACTATAATCAAACTATTTTAGTGTAAAATATAAACGTTTTTGTTTATGCAAATTTTCTCCAATCCTTACTAATTTTGCGGTTCAAATACTTTCCCTTCTGTATTACTAATATTACAAAATACATGGCTTCAGAACCAGCAACCTAGCATTTCTCACTGGCACCTTTCAGAAACACATGCTCTTCAATTGGGAATAAACTGTTTTGAGTGGATCTTCAATAACAATTAATGAGGTTATTGATAATAATAATATAAATATGTGTCTGGCAGTTGAATCGATTATGGAACAGAATTCATTTCTGTATAGTCCAGTGCCTACAGAAACAACACTGAGTACAAATGTGAGTATTCCAATAAGAACATGCACAAGTCTGATATGCTCATGTTTGGTAAAATTCTTCAACTTAGCAACATGAACTGTGACGATGCCACCAATGCAGGTAATGAAAAAAATAATTACAGTTATCACACCTATAATAGCATGGACTGAATCAAAGTGTCCATGATCAGATTTGTTTTTCTCAACTATTTTAATCACAACACCTGCAATTATACACATGGCAGCAAATCCCTGAGATATCCAGTGTTGTTGAATACAGTCCCGTATACACCGACGCAAGAAAATATAGATGCTGTTCTTTGATAGTACTATTATCGCCTGTGCCATTTGTGAAACAAACTGAGGGAAAAAAAAGTTTGGTGATTAGAGTAGATATTCCTATGAAAATACATTCAATGTGACCAAATTGAAAAACGTGGGGAACACAGCCTGCGTATTTTCCATACTTCTTTGACCTTGATGTTCACTTAGAGCAAATAGCTCAGATTACATATTGTTGAATGGTTGATGATTGGAAAGGATGTGGAAGGAAGTAGTCATGGAATAAGTTTGAGGTACCACCCCAGAATTTGCCTGGAGGGACTGAGGAAAATAATGAAAACCTTCAATTTGGATATCAGGTCTCGGGGCTCGGAACTTGCGCTAAATTTTGTCAAGTCATTTTAATTTGGTTTACTTTGGATGATTTTGGGCCCCAAATGAAATTTCTTCTTGCCTGTATAACAATGTAAGTTACAAGATTCTTTCACTTTAATTCATTTCAGGGGCTTGATGGAACCTTTATGTGTATCTCCAACTTTTGACAGATTCTGTGCATTTGTCTCTTCTCCCCTATCAGTACTACAACAATAACTTATCAGACTGCCGGCTACTCCATTCACTGTCCGGTTCCTATAAACCTAGCCCCCTCCACGCAAATGGCACATTCATCGCCCTGATGATGGAGGCAGTATGACCTCTGAAACGGTGGTAAACATCTACCATACTCACCGCTGTGAAAACCTCAAATCACACATATGCCTATGTAACTTACACCAAGACTCTAGCCCAGATCAATGTTTTTTTTAACCAAAATGGTTTATGTATTTCTTACTTTCTCATGACTGATTAATGTCCCATTTATCTTATTCATTTCTGCATCCAAACAATATGAGATAATGAGCACAAATAGTGAAACTCCTGTGTAAATATTCTAAGAACTTTCTCAACACCCTCAAATTCGATGTTGGTATTCTGGGTAGTAATGTCATGTAGACTTGTAGGTAGATATCATCGATCTAGAGGAACATACTGCCTCCATCTCCAGCGTCCCTACATCTTTATGGAAACAAAATCAGACTCATGTTGTACTAACACGGAATGTCTTATTTGTTTCTGACCGTAGAACCCACCTTGTAAGAACAACACACCAATTTCTGATACACTCTGCGTACCTAGTATATGAAGTCGTTTACTTACCCCGATTGTCATTAATGAAGCATGCCATGTCTTCAAATCTCCCACTGTAAAACTGAGTGAAAATATATAACCTGTCAGTGCTCCAGAAATCAAAAGGACCAGTCCAGTCGTAGTAATTCTGTATGCTCTATACAGTGTTACTAACAATCTTTCTTCCGTCATTTCTGTAATCACTTCGGCAGGAAGGTTAAGTTAACTAGCCTACGTAACTGGTTCGCTTACTGATTTCCTGTGAAACGCTAATAATTTCGAACAGCCACCTTTATCTCACACGCAATGCAGCTTAAGAAGATAATTTAATATTATCGCCGTTCTTTATCAGATTAGGAATCACCTATTGAATATAATAAATTTTCGATTTAAAACAACATAATGACACTAATATAACGAACAGATTAAGAAACACTATTTAACAAATGAACGCTTTAAGATTTTGCATAGGACCACATCATTCTTACTGATGTTCATTAACTGAAGATTAAAGCCTATTATTGCAGAACTGTGAGTTTTTGGCTAAAAAATCGATATTGAAATTGGACCATCCATTATATTCGCCAGATTTGGCCCCGTACGACTTTTGGATATTCCCAAAATTGAAGACCGCTTAGAAAGGCCACAGATTTTCAGACGTTGCTGACATTCAGGAGCATACGACGACCATCATGGAGAACATTCCTAAAGAGGAGTTGCATAAATGTTTTGGGCAGAGGAAAGACCCACTCACCAAGTGTTTCAGTGCGCAAGGAGACTACTTCCAAGGTGGCACTAATCGCTAGTGTGCAAGTAATTAAATACAGCTCTTATGGGGACATTCCGCGAACTAGTCACACCTTGTACTCCTGCTTCTCATTTGGGAGGTGACAGATTTAAACTTCGACCTCAAACAGGCGATCCTGACGTCAGTGATTTCCCTCAGTCCCTCCAGGCAAATGACGGAATTGTACCTACGAGGTGCGATCGGAAAGTTTCCAGACTGTGTCAATAGAGGGCGAACCGGATGTAGTACGAGCTTCTGCCGCTAGCGGGTGCGGCCTACATTCATAGTGAATCAGTGTGCCAGCCGGCATCATCGAATTAGCATTTGTTTCTTAGTTACGGGCGTTTTGGTAGTGCATTACACCGACCCTCCTGCGATTTCGGAATGGCGGATTTTCATGAACAAAGAGTGTGCATCAAATTTTGCCAAAGACTCGCCAAAACGGCTACGGAAACCTATGAAATGCTAAAGCAAGCATTTGGGGAGTCCGCAATGGGTCGTGCACAAACGTTTGTGTGGCATTCACGTTTTAAAAAGGGCCGAACCGCTGTCGATGATGACGAGCGTTCTGGACGACCATCTTCGAGCACAACGCCCGAAAATGTTACGAAGATCGAAGTCGTACCATCAACGACTTGTGCGACATTGCTGGGATAGGCTATGGGACCTGTCAGCTGATTCTAAAGGAAGAACTCCACATGCGACGCATCCTGTCTGAGGACCAGAAGCAGAATCGACTTCTCGTTTGTCAGGAACTCAAAGATCTTGCAAGAACCGACCCCAACTTCCTTTCTAAGCTCCGTGTGACTTCTTCCTCTTCCCAAAGATGAAAATTCAGCTAAAGGGAAGGAGATTTGAGACGATA